ATTTTTTGCAACTTTATGCTAATTCAAATTATTTGAAAGTGGGTTTGATTGAGCTACGTGCTAGCACTTCCCTATCATCTATATACATTGTTTGGGTTATATGTTTTGTAGAGTAAATGAGAAAATATTTAAAATTATAGAGGCTCAGCTTTTCCTAAACCGGATCTGCCTTGTGTAACTGGAATGCCCGGTATTACGGGTGCTGTACCTGAGCCAGGCACAATGTATGCATAGACGATAAAAAATATACGAAATGACCGAGGGGGTATCTCCCGGGGCATGGCGGGCCCTGTCTGATACAAATTCATAATATTTCGAACGTCCGGGACCCCCACTATGTACGGACTGAGAGGTCAAGACATGGCTACATTATTTTGACACCGTCGGGCAATGCACCCACGAACACGATAGGAGTAGATGATGCAACTAGATGATGAAAGTAGATCTATTAAGGGCATGACTAGCACTCAGTTCTATCGCGCAGATCCGGATGACTTGTAGTAAAGAGCGACTGTTTATTAATGAGGGACAAATGCTACGACCTTAACGCTATCGCCGGAGCACTACTAGCAGCATCTGGGCTCTCATGCTCGGGAGGCTCCCGACCAACCATCATGGCGTACGTAATCATGGGCCTTCATAATCAGCCGGCAACCTCTTCCTCTCCGCGTAAAGCGAGTCCATCGTAATCGACACGATCGAGCTGATCGACCAACCTGATCAACAAGTTCATGGGTTCATTCACTTCGACTGTGGTCTGTTTGCAATTGCAGAAAAGGAAGGGTTCGCTGGACGGTGCGTGCAGAGGCAAAGAGCCGCAGCTCAGTCTTCAGCTTTGCAGCGGAAAGCACTTCCTTTGGAGGCTGAGCGGAACAGTCGACGCGTCTCGCGCTCCGTCAGAGTATGTGTGTCCGTGTGTCTCTCTGTGTCGGTATATGTGTATGGTGGAGGTGGGGAGGGGGGCACTCGACTGATAGTATCTCTGCTGCGTGCCTAGACTTGAGCGAGCGATGGCACTAAACCAGCGTCTTGGCGTCTTTAAATTCGACTCCGCCTGTCTTCTGTTCGCTATGGCTTCTTCGTTGGGTACATGTTTCCTCTACTAGATATATTACCAGTTTAACGTATCGGTAGCTGGAAGGTAGTCGTGATACGTGGGGGTTACACAAAATCAACCGGTCTCGTTTCATACAAAGAGCCTGTTGTAGGAACCAATTCCGTTACATTTAGTGGTCTCGTCAGAAGGGTATGATTAGTATACAATTTCAAGTACTCTCCAGGAGGGGTAGTATAGGCAATGCGTATAGGAGGTAGGAAGCTAGTAGCATGTAAAAAAAAACTCAATCAACCTCACTTTTAAATTTCCATTCATCTGCTCACATTGACGGCAAGTCTCGTTCGCAAACTTTTAATTGGTTATAAATCCAATCTACGCCGACATCATCGACAATCTCGTGGAAGACAGCTACTTCCACTGAGAGTTCAACATGCGGATGAAGCTTGCCCGCTGGATCTGTTTTAAAATCATCCAAATTCATGAGCGCGGGTCCAAAAACGGCTAGATCCACTGTGGACTCCTATTTGATTGCTTCCTATCGAGCATATCCAAGGCACTTACTCAAGTGAGGACTTCGTCGTGGAATCCTTCTATACACGAATGACATAGCATCCGTATATTTCTTCAAGTTTTACACGCGGCAGCCTGAAAAACTGGTAACTAGAGAATTTGGTTGGTAGCACCTGCAGCCACAGCTCCGGAGATAGTGATGTACAAGAAAGGCAAGGAAGTTACAGAAATATTATTTTTTATTAACTCATTGTGCAAACCAATTGTAAAAAAACTAGTAGGCTTACCGGACAAATTCTTGCCTAATTACTTGGAGCCATAAATGCTGTGAAATGCAGCGTTAGCAAAGCAAACTATTTTCCATCTATTGCTGATGCATACATGCCAAAGCAAATCGTTTTGTACTTACACGTGAGTAGCTGAACGTCACATTTTGCTTGGCACACCCGCGTGGCACGCTGACGTCCCTATCTCCAAAACTATTATTTGTTGCTTGTTAAACCTTTGTAACTAGGTCATTAAACGCTAGTGAGACGGTGCACAATAATGGCCTCGTAAGAAATAGTAGGCTTGAAAAACAAATGCGAGATCATTTCAAAGTCTAGTTTGCGATCAGCAAGCTTAATTCCGCAATTACCAGAGAATCAGTGCTGGAACATCCTATTTTAAGTCGTGACTTACGATTTATACAAGTTTTTGTATTGATGTGTCTCGTCCATGTCAAGATTATCTACCTTCACGCTATAAACTCCCAAAGGTTTTTGATATCAAAGTTGTATGAGTTACGACATTGATTAATTTGAAATGTCAAAAGTTATGCCTGATGACCAGAAGCTACCTGCGCTCGCTCCCCCTTCGTAGCAGTCGCCGCAGGTGTGCACTTGGACAACGTGCACCGCTCCTGAGCTTGAATATTACGAACCTTGCTCTCGATGCTCTGCTTTAGGTCTTCGTGAGGGATGGCCCTTCCAGTTTCTGAGGTCATCATTCCAAGACCTGGGTATCGAGTGAAACCGGTAGATCGACTTCTGCCCTTCGATCATCACCGAATCAGTGGCTTCATGTGCAGCTTTCATCGCGTTTCGGAGCGTTAGGAAGAACTCGATCGAGTTGGAGCCTCCGGGTTCTTTGCCTGCATGAGATAGTGCTGGATTAAGTACGGGTCACCGTGAACACCGCTCGTCATACTCCTAACAAATGAACTTGAAGATCTCGTAGGAAGTCGTAAGGATATTGGCGAGCTGGACATGAGTGTTGTCCGTGGTCTTCATCAAGAAGGTTTCCGTCTTGACCTATTGACGGCGACGCTCGCGCTGACTAAGCGGCTGAGGCTTCACTTTGCTCTAGCATTCTTGGCGACGGGTGAATGGGCGAATCGCACGTAAGTCTTTTCGCTTGATTGGTGTGTCACCGTTATCACCAGAGGCTTTGTCGGTGCCTTGAAATCTTCGCCACTTTCGTCGAAGTCTACCGCATCGGAGTCGACTTCTGCGCTATGGGCTGGCTTGTGCATGTCCATTGTAGGAAATGTCGCTCTCGCTTTCTTCACTCCCTCATTGGAGGTGTCGGCATAGTCCGGTATTTCATGTAGCCGAAGAGGTGTTTGCCATCGAAGGCTGCGCATACGGGAGTCTACCACGCATCGAAGTTTTCGACGCCAACGAATCGTGGAAATTCGTCGCTTGAGGCTTGGCTTGTGCTCATATCCGATGGCGAGATTAGCTAGTGATAGAAAAGAGCGTAGAGAGAGGAGTAGTGTTGAGGAAATGTCAAAAGACCAAGTGAGGTTCATTAGACTTAAGAAGCTACTGCCAGCTACGCACCAGCCAGTAGAGGCGACGAAGGTCCATTATAAGTATAATATGAGCGACCTATTAGATCAGATTATAATAAGTTCGAGAGTTTCTGTAGTGGGTAACCATAATGTTTAGAGACTACTTCAACACGAATATGGTGTAAATAAAAGTCATGGGCTTGGGACGGTGCGTGATTGACAAAAAAATGAACGTTTTAAGCAAAGTCTGAAACAAACGTAATGAAGCGGACACACGTGGAGTTTGAGGTGTGGCGGTGCGAAGTAGAAGCCTTATATGCACCTGTGTTGCGTGCCGACATACTCGATTGAAATCATTACCACCAGTTGTGCTGTTTTCTTATACCAGTCGTCCACACTATCCGCTGGATAACTGTTAAGTGTCAATTATCCGGCGAATACCGTAAAAGTCGGCTCCAGTGCGACAAACGGTTACAGTGCGACATCACCAAATGTAGGGTCGAAACCCCTTCTTCTAGAGTATGAAATGATTCTGTTGATTGGATCGCCAGTCAAACAAATAATAAAAGTATAAAATAGTACTGTAGAATAAACGATTTTTTGTGTAAGCAAACAAAAGCGCATTTCATTCATCAAAGCTTTCGTCTTCGATGTCCGAAGCATCATCGACAACAGCAGCTTCTGGCAGTGCGTGCAGGTACGTTGCAACGACATCGGACACATCTCTAGGACCTATAGGAAGCAGTTTTGTCTTTCAAAACCTTTTACAATGCTTTTTGCCTTGACCATGTCCCATGCTTTCGCTACCAAGAAAGATAGCATCACACGGCGTTCTGCTGTGTCAGCTGGGAAAGGATGGTCGGTATGATAATGCACGTAGAGGTCTCTAAAGTTTAACACACAAAGTATTATTCAAAATTAGTGAGCAAATAAAAATATTAAAAAACTTACTCGATCTTTTTTTTTGAAGGTCCGCATTACGCTGACATCCATTGGCTGACTTAGGGCAGTAACACCCGGTGGGATGTACTGAACCTGTGTCATGCACTCGGTCTCGAGCGTTTCGCGAATGCTTGCCATCTTGTGAGCTTTTGAGACTGTCCAAAAGCAGCATGCGGCACCCGGTGACACTTGACGCCAAATCTAATAATTTAAAAAAGAAAATCCTTAATTAGAAAAAATATATAAATCAATAATTGAGACAAATATACCTTTGAAATCCATTCCTCCATAATTGAATGGTCACACCAGGCTTTTTCTTGTACTGTGTGCTCCACCGACGTGCAACCAAAGGACTGCGATGTAACTTGACTAGCAACTCGTCACCCCGGTTTTCCCGCAACCACAATAAATTGCTTCAACTTTACTCCTGTTGCTGACGCGCACAAAAAAACGCTGCATCGCCCTGTGTTTTCGGCTGCGCCTTGAACGATGTCAATATTGCGTGTTCCACAGTAATCCACTGTTAATTTTCCGGGGTTGTCAATAAAGACAGCCGTCTGGTCCATGTTG